TTACCTTAACTCATCAAATTTACTAATTCAGAGGAGTATTTTGTAAGTTTAAAACATGTACTGCTCCATAAGTTCTACTCTCCCCAGTGCATAACAAATGATATTTTAGTCCTTTTTATTTCGGTTCAAAATAAGTGTCATTTTTACATAACCAAAAATGAATTAACTTTAGTTTTTCAAATTTGTCCTTATTTACATATCACAATGTGTCAAGTTAACAATATGTAAATTTTAATTAAGGGTTATTTAGTCAAAATATTTTTTTTCTAGGAGTTAGTATTTTCTTAAGGGAAGTGACCAAAAGATCACTTATTATGGACGTCTTAGACGAAAAAACAGAGCCAGAGTATTATGTACTAGTTTGGATAAATCTAGTAATTTTTGTTTAGATTGTATTTTTATTAGAAATTCATTAAATATGTTACATATATATATATATATATATATATATATATATATATATATATATATACATATATATATTTAATTGAGAATCCAGTATATAAGATGAGCTATAGGTTCGTCGGCAAGTTTAAAACTAGTGAACTTTAAATTCTGACTCTGCCTCTGATAAAGAATGATAAATTTTTAAATTTGAAACAATTTTACTTGGATAATTCTTTTTAATCTTAATGATAAGATTTTATAGTCACACAATATTATGACATATTTAAGATCATAAATTTTAAAAAACTTATAATCACAAAACTATTATGAAAGATTATAAATTTTAAATATATTTTTTTAGTATGTTAAACTATATGTCCAGTCTAATAATATCATATAAATTAAAAGGGGAAGAATATATATTAAAAGAAAACCACAAGGTTCAATACTTGGTAATAAGGGTGGCATGTGGGTCGGGCCCGGTCCTAAGTGGGCCGGTTCTAGGCGGGCCGGTCCTAAGCGGTCCCGGATTTCGCGGGCTTCTTGTTGGAATCGGGACCACGAACTAACTGTCCCGGGTTAAGTGGGTCGGCCCCTGGCCTAAGTGGGCCCAACAGATACTTTTTATTTTTTAAATTTTTTTTATACAAGTTAGAGAGAAAAAATGGTAATAAAAATATCTAAGGCAATTTGTAAATTATATTATAGAATTATCACCTATATATATATATATATATATAAAGTATAGTATATATATATAGTATAGTATATATATATATAGTATAGTATATTATAGTATATACTATATTATATTATATATACAGCTTAAGATATATAAAAGACAAAAATATTTTAAAGAGATATTCAAAACAATGCGTTATAATTTTATTATAGCATTAAAAAATTATGGCAATATCTTTCTTAGTCTTCCCCCCCTATGGAATGAGCACAACAAGGTGCTAATACCACCACTATGAAGAAAAATAAACTAATCAAGATGTGCCAAAATACAAATTACATATTAATTTACATGGTATCTCTTACAAATTTCATAAATCCTTCAAGGTCCGGAGGAATTTCCGTTGGTGGTGGCGGAAAAGAAGCTTGGTTATCACCGCTTTCAGGCGAAGCATCATCCTACGCAAGTTCAGCTAGCATTTCTTCGTAAGCTTCGTCTACCTCTGGTTGTGATTCAGCAAGTCCAAAATTTCTTCTTTCCGAACGGATCCAATCTCTGAAAAGTACTGATTTTTCCAAGCTCTCCCTCATAGACGCTCTATAATCACCGAGTTGAAGTCTTGCTTGACTGAAAGCGCTCTCTGATGCCACTGTTGAAGCTTGAATAGTTAAAATATCTCGGGCCATCCTTGAAAGAATCGGAAAGTGTTTTTCTTTGTCCTTCCACCATTCCAAAATATTAAAGGAGCCGTCGGGATTCACTTCCTCAATTCCCTGTGACAAATAAACTTCAAGCTCATTTAGTTGTGAAAAATCACTAGTACTAGAACCTTGAGAACCCCTGAACCCTGCCCAAGCACTAAGTGCTCTTACTCCCGCAGTTCTTTTAGATGATTGAGAACTAGAAGAAGAAGGAGTTGGAACATTTGGTCTAGCATGATCTAATGCAACTTGATAAGCATTATAAATTGTTTGAACATTTATTTTAATTGAGGCTATTGCGTCCGAAAATTTAGACAACTCCTCATTTTCAAGTGCTAAACCATTATAAACAGTTTCATACCAAAATTGAGGACCTCCTAATTTCATAGTAGGATTTAACAATGTAGCAGCACCGTAAATAGGGGGAATAGAAAAAATATATTTTTTAAACTTTTTTTCTCATAGAATCAATAGCAAGTTGATAAATTTCTCCACCCTCTGAAAAATGATAAAATAAATTTGCAAGTTCTGCAATATAAACTAAACAGTTAGAAATAGTAGGATAATATTGCCCAGAAAATTCATTTGTAGCAATATGAAATTTTTCTAAAAAATCTACAAGCATTTTAACATTAGCCCAATCCGCATTTGTAAGGTGCTCATCATCATCACTTACATGAGCATTAAACGTTGAGTTTATGGGGTTTCTATATTCATATGCAACAACTAAACTTTCATACATGTAATTCCATCTAGTTGGACAAGGTTTAGGAACCTTTCTTTCTCTTAGGCCAAATTCATCGCATCTTTTAAAATATTCTCTAAGTCTACTTCTACGGTTTGAATAAAAAAGCCAATTAAGAGCCATTTTAACCTTTTCAATTTCAACATTTAAAATTCGCATACCATCACCCACAATTAAATGGTAAATATGACAAATATATCTAACATGAAAAATATTACTAAATGCAGGACTTAGTATAGTGGTAAGCAAGGCTACAACATTTGTGTTACTAGTAGCATTATCCATTGAAACTGACATTATTTTATCACTAATGCAAAAATATCTACAAATATCCGTAATCGTGCTAGAAATAAACTGCCCTGTGTGACGTGAATTAATTATTCTATAAGCAATAATGCGATTTTGCATTATCCAATCCTCATCAATCCAATGACTGGTAACAGTAAGGTAATCACAGTCATTACCACTTCTATCAATATCAGTTGTAATAGCAACACGACAATTTATATGAGTAAATAAATAGCGCAAATATTGTTCATATTCATGTTTGTATTTATAAATATCGCTCTTTACGGTTGTGCGAGATAAACCTTTATAAGTAGGATTATTAAACTTTTCTAATATAATGCACAAAGTGAGGTTTAGAAGGAAAACTATAGGGTAAGCACATAACAGTAACCATTTTTGTCAATTTTTTCCGATATTTTGTTGGATCATAATATAAAATACCACCGGTAACAGTGTTAATTCCCGGTTGAAATTGATTTGACCCGGTATTAAGGTCAGCCTGAGTAGGTGCACTTGTCCCCTCGGCCAAAGCTTTCATACGAAAATATCTAGCTTTATCTTGAGGGTGTAGCAATATGTGTCTAGTCAAACTCCCCCCCTCCCGACTTCCAACATATTTTAAAACTAACTCTTTGCCACAAGTTTTACACTTAACCCTATTTTTTTCTCTAAGTTGAGTAAAAAAGGCCAAACAAGAGATGTTTCTGCACGTTTAGAAGATTGTCTGAAAAAAGTAGGGGTAGTAACAAGAGGGTCAGACGGGGCATCATTTGAATTATTATTAGTTGGGTTAACTTCAGGAGCAGGACTAGTGCGTGTATCGTCATCCGGTTGCGTTTCATCAAAATCTATTTCTTCATCATCATTTTCATCAATAGTTGGATTACCATAAAGAGCATTCATATATTCATGGTTTAATTGTTCACCGGCTGCAATATTATGGCAAAATTGACTCTCGGTAAATTGCAATAAACTATTATCGCTATCAAGAATAGGAGGTGTAGGATGGGTAACAGGTTTGGGTCAGGGAGCCGGGGGAAGTGGAGGAGGAACAGATTGACCACTAGATTCACCACTCTTGGATTTTTCCTTATTTTTACTAAATATTTTTTTTAAGGAATAAGCCATCTTAATTAATCAAGCAAAGTAAATAAAACAAATAAAAATATAATATTAAAACTTAAGAGTTGGAACGAGTTACCGAATTGACGAACAACTTGTTGAAAATTAATCATCGTTGAAGACTTGAAAACTTCAATTCACCAACTTCACAATTTTGCACAAAATATAACAATTAAGTAAGCAATTATAGAAGAATATTAGAGAGAGATTGATGATTTTATGAGAAAAATGAAAGAATGAGGGGGTGTTTATAGTTGAAAATAGGAAAAAAGTGTAATTATAAAAGGTTTGGGGTTAAAACAATGTTTGGGGGAAGGGGGTTAAATGGCTATTTTGCAAATAGCCAACGGCTATTTTGACAGACCAAACAGCTAGTTTTTAAATGGTCAAATGGTCAATTTTTTTTTTTAAAAAAAATTATCCTTTGGGCCCGGATAGTACCGTTTAGGACCGCTTGAACCGGCCCACTTCTCTGCCGGTCCCGGTCCCAAACGGTCCCGATCTCGCGGACCTTCCATATAGGACCGGTCCACTACCCAACCCACCTCTCCACGATCCCGGTCCTATCCGATTAGGACAGTTTAGGCCCACCGTCCATGTGAGCTTGCGATCCTGGGCCGATCCCAATCCTAACAGGCCCCATGCCACCCTTACTTTTAAATGTAACTAGGGAACTAATAAGTCAACCAAAGAAATAAATTAGTGTACGTACTTCCAGTAATAAAAATCCAAAAAATTCAAGAAAAACCGGCATTTCATAGTTGCCGGTGTTGTTCTTTATAGTAATACGTATTTTACTTACAGTATAGCATTCATTATTACTTCATCTCCGAATTTATTTCTTTTTTAGTCCGTGTCAAAAAAATGATCCATTTTCTTATTTGAAAATAATTTATCTTTATACAATAATTTATAGTCACACAAAAAATACATACCTTATTTTACATTATAATTTTAAAAATCTTTTCTCTTTTCTTAAATTTCATGCCCAGTCAAATAGATTTACATAAATTAAAACGCGGAGTATATATAGATTACGCAATATGATTAGGTGGTGAATTTTTTAGCTAAAGAAAATCATGGACTTCGAAAATCATCAAGTAGAAGAAGAAGAAACTGAACCACCACCGAGTTACGACGACTCACTCAACAACTCGAACTCAACTCACCCAACAAAAATGCCGAGTCCTACACCAATGGAACTCGAACCCTTAGCTGCAGTTCACACGTGGCATAATAATAAGCCAAAGTACAAAGAGTGTCTGAAGAACCACGCCGTAAGTATCGGCGGCCACGCCGTAGACGGCTGTGGTGAGTTCATGCCTGCCGGTGAAGATGGCTCACTTGATTCCCTCAAATGTGCTGCTTGTAACTGCCACCGCAATTTCCACCGTAAAATTACTCAACCACCACTTATCACCGCCGCTGAACCGCCGCCGTTTGTTAATTATCATTCGCCGTACTACAGAAGCTTACCGCCACCTTGTGGTTATCTACAGTACCACGTGGCGCCACAACAAAGACCGTTAGCTTTGCCGTCAACTTCTGGTGGGTATCGTGAAGATCAGGAGGACATGTCTAACCTCAATAATAGCGGAGGTATTTTTTTTTTTCTTTAATTTTTTTTAATATTATATTAGAGAATTAGGTTTTTGAGTTGAAGGTGACAATATCCAAAAATTTATACAACGGATTCAAGAAAATATTAGCGTTCCACACTAGCATTTGAACATGTGATCAAAAATAAATTTTGAACCTTTTTGTCACTTTAATAAAATTTTTTTTTTATATAAACTCTTTTTGAAGCCATGAGACAAATCTTATGAGTTCGAAATTTTAATCATTTTAAGTTATTAAATTTTAAATTAATAATTCAAATATATTCAATAAATTTCTTTAGACAAATAATGAAAGACCAATTTTGGCCGAAACCGTAAGCGACAGTAGCTCCACCTTTGCTCGAGAGTAATTGTGTGACTAATTTTGCTTAAAAGTTAAGCGGTTATTAAGAATATCTTTTATTTACTTAATTATGTTTTAGCAGGCAGTGGTTCAAACAAGCGGTTTCGAACAAAATTTAGCCAAGAACAGAAGGAGAAAATGCAAGAACTAGCGGATAAATTGGGGTGGCGAATTCAAAGGGAAGATGAGGAGTTGGTGCAGCAGTTGTGCAACGAGACTGGAGTGAGAAGGCAAGTGTTTAAAGTTTGGATGCATAACAACAAGAACACTCTTGGTAAGAAACCCTAGAACAAAAAGAAAAAGAAAGAAGCCCCATTATTTTAGGTATTTTTGTTAATATTATGTTAGATATTAAGTTCTTATTTTGTATCTGGAAATTAAACCACGTATCTTTGTGTTAGAAGAGGAAGACTTTGAAATTAATTTGAGATATTGGGTGGCTGAGAATGTAATCTTTCTCAATGGCAGTTGATATTATCCGAGACGGATTCAAAATTTAAACTTTGTGGGTTCAACCTTTAAGGTCAGAGGCGAACCCAGGAATTTAATGCGACGGGGAACAATATTATGTTTTAGCCCCCTNGAGGGAGAGAGCATTTTTGCCGAAGTTTATGGGGTCCGGTGACTTCAACGTAAGCCATAGGTCCGCCTATGTTTAAGGTTATGAGTCATACATTTGTTGCAATTTTAGTAGATTTTATGAACCCGTTTGGTCATAGATTTTATCAAATATTTTTGGCAAATACATGTTTTTTCATAAATTTTATTCATATTTTGGCAAATTCTCAAAATCAAAACCCAAATTCTAAAACCAACTCAAGAGCCGGTTTTGGCTCAAAATATTACTATTACATTTTTTTAAAATTGTCCCAAACTTTTGTATTTTATAAAAGAGCCCACCATTTATTATTTTGTAGCAATGGTGCTTTGTCTTCTCGGTCATCTGATAGTGTATTATGTAGTTCATTATAAAAATAATAATTTTGTACCAAATTTATTTATGTTCATGACTATGGTTTGTGATAATGATAATGAATGTTATTGATGAAGGTATTGTTGGGTATTTGTGATAGCTTTTAGAACTTGTGGGTATACGTCTTGTTTCATGTTTTTTTAAAATAAAAGTGAAATATGTTTTGAAAGTTGATGTCTAAACACATTTTTATTTTCACCAAACTTAACCCAAATTAAATTTTTCAAAACAAATTTGGGAATCTATGACCAAACGTTAGCTATATATAAATTTATGCTCCGCATCTAAATTACCGGATTAAGATCACCTAATGTGAATCCGCCTACTAAGTTTTAGGCCATGAATATTGCTCTTTTCTTCTACTTCCACTTGTGTACTTGGAATGTTAAATGCATCATTGTATCTTTACTTCTTCTAGATTATATGTGTTCATAAAAGAGGTCAAATGGTAATCAAATCTGCTTGTTTTTTAATTCCTTATGAGGTTTTTCCTTTAAGAGGGTGATTTGATGCAAGCTAGGAAGATTAATTGATCTAAGCTATCTTTCTGAAGCTTGTTTTTCGTAGGACATGAAAGGTAAGTATAAAACAACAACAACATACCCAGTGTAATTTTATAAGTGGGGTCTGAGGAAGATAATGTCTGCGTATGCTTACCTCGATATTGTGTAGGTAGAAATGATATTTTTGATAAACACTCAACTTAAAGTAAGCATGCATAATCACACCAGAATAAAGAAAGAAACGCAGTAATACTGAAAAAGTAAAGAAAAATAAAATAACAACAACACGATAAAAATGTAAGTTGGAAGTGAAACTTGATCAAAGAAAAGATAAAAAATGGTTGGAAAAGGAAAAAAGAGTTGAGAAAATGCATGGTTGCGTTTAAGCTTGGTATAATACACACTAACAAAGAATAATTAATAGAGCAAGACTAAAGGAATTCACTTGTTTTTATAACGGTTATATCTTAACTTGCGCACGTTTAAACTATTTTACCATGTATAGATGATTATTATACCTTATCCCACTAACCAAACGACTCTCTGCTTCTTTGGATGAATGATGATGAAAAATATTTCCATTTTCTTCTCGTAAAACTTTTTGGTGCAGGCAGATTAGTATAGTTTATTTAAAGAAAAATCAATATTTTAAAAAGAATGAAAATGATTGAGTTTGTCATAGGGGAAGGGAAAGTAGAAAAAGAACAAAGATGTTTGATATGTGTGCAGTGTTCCTAGGGAAGGCAAGAGCTGAAATAAACATATTACTACTATTATATTGAAATTTACATTGTTTTATATTTTTCTTGGAAATGAAAATTTGATATTTGCAACAGTAAAGTCCATAATCTCAATATTCCAAAAAGTCAGATAGATCCAAAGCTTGATCCCTTTTCTCTTTTTCATCTTTCTTCTTCTCTCTTTTTATTCTTTTTCTGCTTCTTCTTCTCGTTCCTAACTTAACTTTTTCTTTTTTTATGTTCCAAAAGGTACATGTGGTCACTACTGCAACATAGCAGTCGCATGCATTACGATATTCCTACATATTTAATTTTCTGCTTTGTACCTTTGTGTATTGAATATATATTCTGACGAATGAGGTTATGATGGAGCAGTAAGTATTTTTTCGTTCTTACTCAAAGATTTTAGGTTTGAGCTCTGGGTATGAAGTTGTCTTTATTAGAAAGAATTTTACCTTCCAATGTGAAATTTTTCGGTGCGAATCTGAATTTAATCGGATTCCATTACGGACGCTTGACATCAGGTGAAAAATTAAAAAAAAGAACGAAGATATATTGTGATATCCTTGTTTTTTCTACTCGGATAAATTAATGTATCAATATTGTGATTCTGACTTATACAAATTCACGCCGCATAAGATTCATTAATAGAAAAATATTTTCTATCAAAAAAAAATTAATTTTATTCAAGGCTTGAATGTGAGACCTTTAATAAAGGATGAAAGTATTTAATTAATCCTATCGCAATCCTTGATGTTCTATTGTGGCTTTTTACACTTGTGCTTGTCAATAATGACCAAGGAATATCTCTCCTTAAATGTGAAAAGAAAAAAAATCCAATCATAATTTTGGACAAATTAGAATATTTGCATTTTTTCATTTTTTTTCTGGGTGGGGGTGGATTCACGAATAATGAACAACAACAACAACAACAAACTCAATGATTTTTCATAAGTGGGTTCTGGGAGGGTAAGATGTACGCAGCTTACGCCTACCTGGGAGGGTAGAGAGATTATTTTCGATAAATAGAAGGTAGGGGTTTGGTGGAATTAAAATCTTGCACATTAGGCCACAACTCCATCCTAATTAGAACATCATTATAATTCAAGGAGATCTTACTCTTAAGTATGACCTAACTAAATGGAGTAATGTTTAGTTTAATACCACTTATGGAACTGTGATAATTAGAGAATCACTTACAATTCAAGGAGATTTTATTATATTGCTATTAAATGTGTTTGATTAGATTAAAGAAATTTTTACTTAGAACAATATTAAGCTCCAGCTAATTTTGTTTCAGTTGTGGTTAATGCTATGTAATATATGCTTATCTAAAGGTGCATCTAAACACTAACTAGATATTGAAATTGAAAAATACAAGTAAACAATGACAAACTAAGTGTGTATTACGTACATAAAATTTTGACACTTTAAATTTAACCTTTTTAAAAAATAATAGAATCAATATTTTAAATGCTAAAGGCTGAACTTGCCCACAGCCGAAGAGCCTTTTTAACATTACTTTGAACTTTTGAAGTATACTTTGATCCCATCATCGGGTGTGGCGGGATGAATAACATCCCTATATATTAGTTATAAGTCTCGGGTTCAAACTTTGAAAATTAACTTATTTTTTTCTATGGGTCTTATGCTGTGAAATTAGATTAATCGAATCCCAAAACGTGTAGCCAACGCCAAGGAAAAAATGAAAAAGGTACAATTTTAATACTTCATTATGGCCCCATTCTCTAACTAATTATTCTCTCCGGTCCACTTTAAGTGATTTTTAGGTTATTTTAACACATATTAAGAAATTCATCTTTTAGCATTAATTAATAATGTAATTGATCATATTAACCTTAATTTGTTCATTGGAAATACAACAAATATTCCTAGGCTCTTTACTCCAGTGACAATTTTGAAAAAAAGAAGTTAATGCTTTCTTGATATTTAAAATTTTTAAATATTATGGATCACAAAAAAAATTAAAAAATTAATTAAATTGGACCGAAGGAAGTAATGATTAAATAAGCTAGATTGGATACACTCACAAATGATTTTTTGATACAATTCCCATATGTATTTCCTCTGGTCATTCTTTGCTTTGACTATCTTTGGAATCATTATTATTATTATTGATAAGAAAACAAGGCAATAGCTTTTAAAGCGAAACCAAATACATTAACAAATTAATTGTTTAGCTGAATGAATGGTTTCTCGCAACAGAAACTAAGAGGTCGTTTGATAGAATGTATTAGGAAAAATAATGCATATATTAGCTTTGTGTATTAGTAATAATTTATTTGGTACACTTTTTCAATTTATGTATAACTAATAAAAATATTAGTTATACATCCTATTTGGAATTATTCTATGTATTGTTAATACATAGCAAACTATGATATTAGCAATACCAAAGTTATTAATACATGCATAAGCTTAGTTAAAGATAAAATTGCCCCTTCAAATTTTATGCTTGATTAAAATTCTTTTTACCTATTTTTCATTGAAGTAAATAGATACATGTTGACAAATTTGTCTTTTCTAGTTTTTTCCACCTCGTTTTCTAATATTAAATTCTTTCAATTAATCATCCCTTCTATTAAAATATCATATTTAACAAAACGTGTTAAAAACTCGCACTTCCTTTTCTGAAAATTAAAGTACTTTTCTCTACAATCGTGGGATTCTTCCTCTTCCTCACTTGTGAGGCCAATTGCTTCATGGATACAACTGTATAGACCAAATTACTGTAATTATTCCTAGAGAATTTGGAGTGTATTTTTGTAAGCAAATAATTTTTAAAAAATATTATACAATGCATGTAATTTTCGTACACCAAATCAAACATTCGATAAAAAATAATCTCAGCATAACTAATATTATATGCATAGCTAATACTAGCATAATTAATAACAACATTACTAATACATTTTAATTTAGCGTCTTTAGTTACTAGTTAGCTCCTAATCTTACTAGTGGACAAACCCAAAAATATCTCCCTACTAAACTCTTCAACTGATTGAACAAGTCCCACGTACATGTGCTCTTACATGTCCTTTGACCAATAAATTAGACAAAACAGTACAGAATGCTATAAAAGAGCAAGAAATTATTACAGTATACAAGTTAGCAAGAATTGCAGTAAGGTTTTCAGAACTGCAAAAAAACGTCCTTTTAAGGCCCTGAGTACTGACTAAATTCATGTGATCTCTAAAACATAGCCAACTCGGATCGAAAGACCTATGACTAGACATGCTTTCCAACAAAATATGCGACGAAAACTTACTCAGCACTTAGTATTTACACAAAATTGAGTAATGCAATATTTTTATTATGGCAAAATACATGAAGAACCCCTTTAAATTGTGCACAAAAAAAATCTTATCTTAAGGATAGAGAGCCCCCGCTTGCCTTTTCAGATACGAGTGAGTGAGCGCTTTTCTGCTGCCAAAAGTCTATACTGGCATTTCAATAGGTCAAGCAAGTCCGCTCGCAAGCCTGTAGGCTATTGTCTTCTTCCTATATCCCTGTTCGGAAAAGCTATTGATTCCATTACCGAAACGACCAGATAGACATTTCAACTGAGCCAACTAGATACCTCAACCGTCTTTTAAGTGCGTCAACTAAATAGCCATGCATGACTTGGCATATCGCTTGCTGCACACTCATGTAACAGCACCAGAGGCGAGCATATTCACGTAGAAGAGGGGACACCGGTCCTTGTTAACTTCGGCAAAAATTCTGAATATATAAGTGTATATATGTTGAAAACGACTATATATTTTGTTTGGAATCCTTAAGATTAATTAAAGCCCGATGAGGATACTGGTTGAAAAACTTTACTCATGTGCCCCGCCACCTTCAAATCCTGGATCTGCCTCTGAACAATACGTTGCCTCAAATTTTAACCCATCTCCAGCGATTTATCTGGTCATTACTAAGGTATTATTTAATTTCATGTAAACATTGAGTGTATATTAGTATTTATCCAAACTTCTCATTGCTATCCCCTCTCCAAGGGCGGATCTATAGTCTTGCATATGAGTTCACATTAACGCAATAGCTTTTTGTCCAAATCTTGTAGTATAATTTAAGAGGTTCACTAAATATTTGTAAATATTGATCGCAAATATCTAGTAGTTGTACTTTAATTTAACATCATTATAAAAATTCATAAACTTCAATCTTGAATTCGTTTCTAGGAGTCCGAAACCAAAATGTGGCTCTTTTCACTACAACAAATTTCATTATCAGTGATAAATTATTTTGTCACCTAAAATTCATATTTCGTCACAGAATGCTTTTTGTGACGATTTATTTTTTGTCAAACATTCATCTCTAAAACACCGTCACTAATAGTATGCAACGACAACTTTATGTTTCGTCACTAAATAAAATTATATTAACTACAAAAGCTGTTTTTGTCTCCAAATACATAGTATTTATGACGAACTTGTTTGTCATAAAAAGTGTAAAAATTTTGTAGTTAAAACATTGTGTCGTCGCAAGATCTTTAATACTAACGAATCTATTTTGTCACTAATTATCATTTTAATTGGTGACGATGTCGATTGTCTTTAAAGCTATGCATAATTTGTAGTTAAAAGAATGTGATTTTGTCACTAAATGGTTATGCTTTATGTACAAAAGAAAATTTTCGTCTCTAAATAGATAAATTAGTGACAAATTTGTTTGTCCGAGAAGGAAATAATTTCGTAGTTGAAAACTATTTTTGTGTCTCGACAAATGATACTATTAGTGATAAGACCAATTTGTCATTATATATTAGTCTTAATAGTGACAATTTCAATTGTCATTAAATATTAAATTAATTTGTAGTTAAAATATATTTCTATTATTAATATGAAGGCCATTTCTGGAGAAATAATTTTTTGTTACTAAATGTTTTTTGCGAGAAATTGCATATATATATTTATCGCTTTGTAATCGCACTATTCAACACTGTAGTTAAATAGTTTGTTATTAGTTACATGTCTATTCAGTTTTTTAAAAATTAGCTTATGCAAATTAAAAACATCACAAAAATAAAATAGAAAACGTAATACCAAAAATTCATACAAAATCAGATACTAATACATCTATAATTATTCTAAGAAAAACATGTGAAATACATAAAAAGTCTAATTGAAATACATGAACAATGGTAAACTAAAAAAGACAAGCATGTTGCTTCCTCATGTGCCAATGCAGCGTCCCTTATCTACAATCTTCCCAGACACTTTTTAGACCTTCATATACCTGTGTAAAGAAAAAAATTATAAATACTTTTGATTTCATTATTTTAAATAAAATAAATCTTCAAACTGAAGTCATAAAACTAACTTTAATTAGTGAATCAATAATAATAAAATAAGAAAGAGATAGTAACTTCTATACAAAATCGTTAACTATACAATATACCCTACATCAAAAAATTTGAAGAACAAATAAAGTATTTTAGAAAAAAAACACTATATCAATAGAAATTTACCTCATCGTCAAAAGAATATCAAGAACTCCTTCCTTAAGCCATAAATTAAGGCCCTCAATTATAACAAAAGACGATTTTCTCATCAAAGGATTGTGGAGTTGCTCCTTGTGTTATTCAACTCCTGCATATAAACTAAAAAATAGAGCATTGGTAAATGATGTTAGAAAATTTTATTAGGTAGAGAAATTAAGAAAGTCAAAACCAAAGAGAAGAGTTGGTTTACCTGGTTATAGAGGTCGAGGATGATGGCACCTGCGATAGTTGGATGTGGATGGCCATTAGTTGGGATAACAGAAAGCAATTAGGAGAAAAAGAAGAAATAAAAAATAAATGGTACTAATTTCTCTTTCTTATTGGAGTCTATGTAGTTGTATTAGAGTTGGATACCTCACACTTATCTAAGTGGGAGATTGTTAGTGGTTTATAGGGCGGGAATGGATGAGAGAGGGAATTTTACACGAAAATATTGGAGGGAAGATAAAATAATTGAAAGTTAAATTTTGTTATTTTATCTTCCCTTCAATATTTTCATGTAAAATTTCCATAATTATGACTTCCTTAAATATTGAGATAAATTATTTTTCGCGTTAATTCTTACCAAATATAGTGATGGAATTATGGCCAATTATTCTGAAAAAATAATTCAAAGTTATACAACAGAACAACGACAAATTTTTGTTGTAATAGCTTTTTACGAGATAAATATTTTATTTATTGTAAGGGATTAGTGACGAATTTTCCCTTGTAATTTTAATAAATTAGATGTGGCCGATAAATTTACGTCAAGAAATAATCAAGACTGCAGATATTGCAACAAGTATAGTATTTTATTTAAATGTTATAAATATTACAGTCTCTATAATTCCTCTGATTCTTCTTTTCAAGGATATAAAATAAATTTAGAGACCTTTGAACTTGATCTTGAGTCTATATGGTTGTCACGAATGATAATCTTGAATTCAGCGAACAGATAATTTGCATTCACACTCCTTGAATCTTAATTTATTCTTAGTTCTTAATCGTGAGATTGATTTCCCAAGTGTCTTGTCTAGTATCCCTTCTTGCATTTTTATTAAGTACTCTTTTATTTTTCTTTATTTCTTTTTCATTGATTTATTCTTTCAAAATTTTCAAGATCATAATAAAATTACTTTTCTTATTCTGTCACCGTAAAATTTTATATAATTAAATTAAATGTGTATATAAAACTAGTAACAGCAGAGGATGTAGCATATAGTCAATGAAATTTGACTCATCCCAACTTTTTCAGCACAAAGTATAGATATATGTAAATCGTAAAAATTTATTATCTAAACAAATTAATTTTGAACCTATAATTTTAAAAATAATAATAATAATGGATTCAATGGCAAGAATTTAAAGTTTGAAGCCATGAAATTATATCTAAGAAATACCTCTTCATAACAGTGCATCAATCTTCTCGAAATCTTGAATTCACCATAGTCCTAACAATCTCTAATGTAAATATAAAAAGAACATATTGAACGAAGTTATAATTTTGTCCAATCTGACACATTATTTTAAATAGGTAAAAACAATGAAAGACAAATATATACCACTTTATTTTTTCAAAAAAAGAAAAACTTACATTCGCTTTTATTTACTCTAAAAATAGATAACAATTAAATTTGTTAGTGGTTTTAATGATACATGGGTTAATTCAATACAAAGGATAAATTGTGTTAGATTAAACAGATAAAGGACGTAATAAATTATCAAACCAATCAAGATGAGTGATCCCGAACTTAGTAATAGCTTAATGAAATGCCTGCTTTCGATCCCAGTCTCACGTTACTGATGATTTGATGAACAAAAATAAGAACTATGAATAATAGAGAAAATAAGAGTATATTGCCTTGATGTGTGTGTTACAATATCTCTAATGAATAATCATACCCTCTTTATATAGTAGGGGAGTTTTACCCTACGTACAATTCCATAAAAGGTAAAAATCTCATGTTTAACTAATCGTCGGTTCTCTGCCGATACGTGCCGAGATTCACGCCGTGACATCCGGCTGGTCACGGATATCACGGTCTTTTATTGTCCGTGCTCGATTATCTCGTAATGCTCTCCAAGGCCTTTGGGATTCGAACTTGGGGGTCATGGTCCTGATACTCCCGAGGGCAGATGTTTTGCCTAGACCCCAGCTCTAGGGGCTCTTTGCCTCGACTCTGGTTCCTTACCGTCACGTCCCTCACTCCATTTACTTCATCGTAAATCGAGATATCCCATGGGTTCAGTTTCGCCCGTATACAGCTTTCTCAACCGACGGAAATCTTCTTGTAGTATTTAAGTTGAAGTAATACGAAATTAAATTAAAAATGTATACTAATTTTGAAATCTAGATTCAAATTTACGACATAAATTTTTTATAAGAACCAAATTGAATGGTTTGTCTCCCACGCAGAATTAAATAAATTGATGCTTTCCCATAAGAACTTGAATTGTGCTCAATGTAGAAAACAAAATTCCCAAAATTTCTAAGCAAAAAGGGGGTTTGAGTTTCTCCAAATTGAGAATTTTTATAAGATGATTATTTCAATCACAAGTGAAATTAGTCGTAAAGAAGTAAGTATATGTATCGTGCATGCATAAACTTCAGATTTATAATTAAATACGAAGTATGAGTTTTTGATTTTGAACTACAATTATTTTTTTTGTAGCCAATTACTGCATGATTCAACTACAAAGTTAAGTCGTAGCCATTTAAAATTACATATTTTGTGACAAAATTTTATTGTGACTGAATTGTAAATTAAATAGAGACAATAAAATAATTGTCACTAATTGCTTGCACTATTAGTGACAAAAACTAAGGTCACAATTAAATATAAAATTTTATTGCTGAAGTTTACAATGTTTAACTACAAATTCTAATTCGTCACTATTACAACAATATATATTTTGTGACGAAATATTTTCGTGTCCAAAAGTTAAATAGTTCTAAGACAAATAATGGTTCGTCGCTAATTGAGTACATCATGAGTGACAATAATTTGTCATCAATAACTTTAAATTTGTGGCTAATATTACTCAATAAATGATACCAACTCATTTTTTGGTGGGAAGCTTTAATGGACGAAACTTTGCTACGAATTTTTATGTTTCGTCACTAAAAGTATGTGGTTCATATATTTAAAGACGAATTGTTATTTTTGTCACGAACAATGAATAATTAGTGACAAATTTTGTATCGTAACTAATAATTTCGTAGCTAAATTTCACATTTGTTGTAGTTTGGACTCAAAGAACCAAAATATATGAAAAATAAACTGGTGATCATAATATATATAACGCCATTTTAAAAGGTGCTATACCTTAACGGCCGTTTGCCCAGTTAAGTATAGCACCCTTATTTAAGGCGCTATATATATAACGCCCTAACATACCGCGCTATATATATTATGTGGCCCACCAATAATTTTTCTGGGCTTAACTGACATAACAATAATTCAACTGGGTATAGCACCCATATTTAAGGCTCTATACCTCAAATAATTGCATCCCCCCCTCCCGGGACTAGTTTTTGCCTTATTTAAAGAGGTTAAGGATTTTGTAAAAATCCATCCATGAATATTCTCAAGTCTTCTGAAATATTTCTTCGTTAAGTTATTTTGTATTTTGTCATAATGTATGAAGAGCAAAGAATTAGGGTTTCATTATATTGGGGGTGAGGGGGGTGAGGTTGTGGTGACGAATAACTCAGTAATCTATAGTTTATCTCCACAGTGTCATGTTAAGTTACCACTTACAATGGAGTACGATACATTGGTATTGTTGTTATGTAAAAAAAATGAGTGTGAGCAAACGTTCGGTGAATATTAAAGTAATCAGAAGATATTCTGTCACTTCGCAAGGGGTTGCTTGTTATGTTGAGTTTAACATCGAAGACGATGAAACTTTGAGAGATTTTTTGAGGACTCCGGATGAATACCGGGAATTTCTTGTGATAAAAATATTGGAAATGTACGTCAAGGCTGAAGACGTTCGCAATAATGAGGTTGCGCAAAGTAGGGATATCCCTCAGTCATCGGGTGGTTATTTTGGAGCAGTTTTAGGCGAACAGGTTCCAGGTGAAAGAGTTTGGCATGATCTAAACTTATCTCCATGGGCGAATGAGGAGCGAGGAAATAGTTTCTCCCCTAGTTTACATACTCCACAAGTCGAGTGGTAAACTTCAATTTTTCTTTGTGTTACGATATTTATTTTTGATGTATCGAATTTGTATTAACACTCATATATTCCACAGGGGTACCGGCCAGATATGAATTTTACAAGTTATGAACTAACGCCCAGTTGGAATATGCCTAGTATTGATGTGTTGGATCATGGTGGTCCATCCGGAAGTCATCACTAACAGGATAATGTCCATCATGTAAAGTTTGGATCAATTTGAGTAACTTATTATTTTGTTGGTTGTGCAGTGAAAACGAGCAACTTGAAGGTACTGTCCTTATTCAATTGCCCGAAGACGACATATGTAATCGGGATCTAGCAGATGTGCATAGTCAGGAAGAGAATAGTGATTATAACAACAATACCGATGAGTCTCGAGATGACACACCTTTCCCTAATGAGGGTGATGATGAGGAGGAAGAGAATGCTGAACCTGATTTGACGAGGGAGCATGCTCCATCTCCCGTTAAACCAAGAGTGTACGAGTCCCACGTGTCGTTTCATTCAGGGGAGATTCCCTACCTTGATCATTTGCCAAATATACCGGATGTGGATGCCCTTACAAGGGATATTGACGAAATTCACACTGCAATGTGGGATGAATCTAGAGCAACGATGCTGGCAAAGGGCATGCTTTTTCCTGATAAAGCATGCCTAAGCAGGGCGGTGCGAATGTACAACGTAATAGAGTGTCGTGAGATCACGGTAGCACAGTCATCTCCGGATGTATACAAGGTTATTTGCCGTAGATGGTTTATGGGTTGTAATTGGATACTGCGTGCGAGGAAAAAGAAAACAAATATGTGGGTTGTGGGTAAATACATTGGCACCCACAATTGTGAAATGGACACATTTAGTGAGAATCATTTTAACTTGAATGTTGACTTGATTTCTCTTGTCTTGATTCCACACATTGAAGCGTCCATAAGGTACAAGATCAAAAAGTATATAACATCTGTCCACCAGGAATATGTGTGTTCTATTACCAAAAGAAAGGTATTTCTCGGGCGCAAACGTGCGTTTGATATTGTTTATGGTAGCTGGGATAAGTCCTTTGCATCTCTACCCAGGTACATGGCCGCATTGCAATACTTCAACCCCGGGACTGTTGTT